TTAGGTCTGGGCATCCAGAAACATATACTGCCATAATTATATAATATGCCGATAAAAAGTGTTTAGGTGAACAAAGCTATAATTAGATTAATTAACTGATGAAGCTAAGTGAACGGTTTAGATGTTGGCTATAATATGACAGGAAGTAAACCAGGAAAGCCAAAGACCAAAAAAAAAAAAAAAAAAATTCTGTAAGAGGGAATTCCTAAATATCAATAAAATTTGTTTGGAATAGTTCCCTCTTACGGGATATTTTACATTTTTCCTGAAGTTTTCGCAAATTCACCGCACAGTTTTTGAGTAATATAATTTCAGTTTCAATATTACAATTTTTTAGGACAAAATTTCCCTTTTGCAAGGTCATTTTGCAATGCCTACGTCATCAGCTCTAGAGCGCGCGCGCGCTCACGAAAAACCGTTTCGAGCCTCCTTAAGTATAGAGGTGCTTGATCATCATTATAGCTTCCTGTGATTAATTTATTTTCGTGTAATGAAAAGACAGGTCAAGACAGGTTATATATCGTCCATGAGGACACCAAGGCATTTTGTTTCATGGGCGATTGACAAAAAACTGTACCATGATAATATAATCTTTTTATATAGCCAATGACTTGAGGACATTTAAAGTAAGCCTATTAACGGGCAGCCACGATTTGTTTTTGAAGAACGTTTGTTGCGCACTCATAAAAAAGGTCAAAGTGATATCATCGGCATAAAGTTTAGGAGTACTAAACTGTGCAAAAAAAAAAAAAACCCCGTAAATCATTGATGTCAATGAAAAAAGATATGCGGGACCTGAAATCGTACCTTGCGGAACACCAAGGTTTGAAAAGATACCATTGACTGAGCAACACTGCTGTGTTCTATCTGATAAAAATGAAGAAAGCCATTCCATAACATTTGTGTCCATGCCAAATATCTTAATTTTGATAACGATATTTTATGATTGGATGGATATGGATGGATGGATGGATGGATGGATGGATGGATGGATGGATGAATAAATGATATAGGCGTGTGGATTATTCCATTTTTTCTTATGTGGATTATTTATCATTATTTATTTATATTGTTGCGGGCGACAAAAGGAGCACGCAAGCATAAATTGACGAGAAAAYGCCAAGGGGCCTGGGCCCGCGGAATACGAGAGACTAGACAGCCTTTCAGAGTTTTCGACTTCCATCTGGAATGTCAAGAATCCGAGGAATGCAGACTTACAAGGGACCAGTGATCAAACAGGTTTTCACGCATACGTGAGGGAATTCGATCCGCAGGGATAACCATCCTTTGCAGGCCAACCAAATCACTAAATACTCACTTGCATCTGCCTCTCCATATGCTAATAGCTACTCAAGCCTCTCAAATAAATTAAGAATATCTTCCACCAATGTTCTACACCCGCACTTCCTAACCTGAGGTTACCCCTAGTTTTAGATATATTTATTACTAACGTATTGAAAAGCGTATCAATTCTAAATTTTGCATGTGCATGCGCAAGTCTACTTCTCTCAAACCACAGCAATCCCAAGTCTGCATATTTGCTATTTCTCCCAGTCCCTTCTCTCTCGGGATTATTGATACGACAGATTTTCTTCAAAAGTTTAGAAATGTAGTGCTACGGCGAAAGAAGTCTGTTTAACCGCCAAAAACTCTCACCAAATGGTAAGTCACTAACCACTTAATCAGATAATCATCTTGAAAGAAAAATATTCACTCCTTAGAGCGGCAATCCTTCGTAATATTTACAATTTGGAGCGCATTATGCTCAGATTCTCAACTGCCATTTCGATCGCGAGCACTGCYATAAGAATAATATCAGGATAGAAAAGTCGAGTTAATTCTGTTAAAACGAAGGACAAAATGTCTTATTACATATTAGCCATTTATTCTTTAGAGAGCAAATCTATGGTGTTGATTTACTTTGGTTTTCCATTGTGATTATGCAAACTCGGTAGTTGTGAGAACGCTGAAAATTTGATTTTTCGCTGCCGTCAATCAAAAGTTTTTATATTCTTGAGTGGCCGGGAAGGCAGTGAAAAACCAGTTTTATATCAAGCTGTTGAAATGTCGGAGTACGCAGAATAGCGAAAACATTAAACTAATAAGTTTTCTCGTCTATCGTTTTACAGCGCTTCTCGACCACACGCGTGAAATCGTGCAATTTGCCATCGTGRCGAAGTAGGTTTTGGTGGACGTCAATCAATGCGTTTCCATGACATTCCATATGCACGTGCATTAAAAACTTAGTGTTTTCCGTCAAAGGGATGGGGGTGGGGAAGGAAGGGGGTTGCAAAAATACCGCATTAATATAATAATGTCTTTAAAGTGGGGGCTAGCAAAAATCTTTCACTTTGTCATGATCATGGGTAAATCTAGTTGTTCGGCGTGACTCGTTATTGGCATAGTACAGGTTTATTTTCGGCTCTCAGGCCAAAATGGTACTACTTTATTTAGTTCGCTGAACCATAATATTCGTGATTGGAGTCAATTGGCTGACATTATATTGTCAAACCAATTTGTTTTGGGGGGGGGGAGGGGGTCACTGAAAACGTGTTAGGTTCGTGTGTGTGGCCCTATAGCCCCCTCCCCCTCCCCCCACTAGATAAATTATGAGCACTCCCTTATACAGAGGTAAAAGAAACAGAGCGAAATAGATGGGAAAGATGAGATAGTAAGATTATAAGATGGAAGAACAAACAATAGAATGGAATATGATTCTAAATCATTATAGGACCACTTCTATAAGCCTTTTCATAGTTTAAGAATCGATTCCACTGCGCCTGCGATTTTATCCCGAATTTCTCACCTTCTTTTGTCTAAACCTTCTTTTGTTCTTAATTAAACAAAAGAAGGTGAAATCGCATGCGCAGTGGAATCGATTCTAAACTATGAAAAGGCTTATTAGCGTATTAGCGTATTTCGCTCACGTGAGAAGGCAGCCATCAATGAATTATTTGTTTACAAATAAAATTATGTATTTTCTCGAACGAATTTAATTATTCTATTTGCTTAGATAGGGGTGAAGGTACGAGGTCATTGGTTATATACCCCCTATGAGGGAGCTGTATAGGTCACGTGGCTTTGTAAGCGTGGGTCAGTCGCGTGGAATCTTTTACAGGACAACAACTTGAAATTTTGTCCCATAGCCATTTGAATGCCAATTAAGTGTGGTTCATTGCCAAGTAAACACAGCGCAAGCAAAGCAGTTAGTTATTAGCTTCTCACAGTGAGAGAAATGTATAAACAATAGAAACTTTCTGCACATGCAGTATTTGCATAAAAATAGAGTTCAATTCCCGGAGGATAGAAAATGTATTGTTTTGGTACCCCATAGAGCAGTTTTCGTATGACTGTGAAAAGCTCAGTGCCGTACCGTGACCGTGATGTTTTCTAGAATTTTAATTGGCTGATTTTTTCTCGCGCAATGCGATTGGTCTGAAAGTGCCGTGATTTTGGCGTGACCGTATCAGCGCCGTGTTTATGCCGTGTTCTGGGTATTTGATTGGATGGAGAGTGAATTCTCGAGCAATGTGATTGGTCTGGCGTATCCCTAGCCGTGTCACGACTGTGTTCGTGCCGTGAGCTTTTCACAGTCATACGAAAACTGCTCTAATGGCCGCTGTGTCACGTCACGTGAAAACGCTCCATACATAGCATTATATCGTTTTCTATAGCATTTATGATTAGTCTCTATCAATATATATATCATGTAATATATACATAACTCAAGTACCATAGAATATTCGTAATCAGTAACCGGTTAAGTGTTTTAATTGTAATTCGTGTAATTATTTAGGTGTCCCCGATTAGTATGCTCACTTGTGGCAAGCAAGTAGAACGACACATTAATAAAGTGATTGATTGATTGATTGATTGATTGATTGATTGATTGAATAAAGAGAACGGAGGGGAAAAAAGAATAGGGGAAAAGGGATGGAAAGTAAAGCAATATTAGTGAAAGGAATAAAATGCAATGGGAAAAAGGACTGAAAAGTAAGAGAATTGGCTAAACTTTACATAAGTTTATTCACTTACCCCAAACTGTGCTGTTTTCCTGTGGGGAAAAAAGGATGTTAAAAAACCTGCT